CCTCTCTTATCCTCTGAATCAACCTAATCAAATTAAATCATGTTTAGCCTGGTAGGCCCAAATTATTTCAGGGACCCAATGAGCAAAAAGTACATTCTCTATTCTGGTAGCTAATGCTTAAAGGACAACTTCAGAATAAAGTATTTTAGTAGGAATAAGTTTCTAAAAGTATTGTGATATGCAAATGGTAACCACATAGTTTACTATGGGATTGGGAAACTGGAAACATGGAAAAACAAAAGCAGAGAAGAGTTGAAAAGAAGTGACTAATGGGAAAGCAATTTTTGGACATCCTAAAGCTGGTCTAGGATGTGTACTACTTAAGAAGTTGAAAAAAAAGAGAGGTACATAGAGATTCTGATCACCATGCTCCAAATGCATTTCTGAACCACATATGAAATCAAATTTATATGTGTGTATGAAAAGGTGTCATAATTTAACATGGTCTATAATGTGTGATGGTTTTGCTAAAATGTCTATTATTATCAATGGAATTTTTCCAAACATAGAGACTAAGATCTTAATTTTATATTCACTGTAGAAAAGGTTGTTCACCTTAAGTCAGTAATTCCCAAGTTTTCAATTCTGTGAATATTTAAATGTAATTGACACAGGAGCATCAAAATAGGTGGGAATCGTAATTTAGAACCTACACATCAAGTTTCTATTGTGTGTATACCTGATATATAATTTAACATGACCTACAAACATGTGACTTCTCTTTTGGCTAAATGTCTCCTATTTTATTTTATTCCAAGTTTAAAAGAATTATTATTATTTAAAAGAATTATTGTTGTTATATAATTATATATTATAACATTAATTTTTATAGGCATGCCACATCTGGGACAATGGGACAAAACAGGTTAACTTACTTGGAGACAAATGCATTCTCCTGATAAGTCCTAAAAATTATGTTTATGTTTCCATCCTCATTTTCTTCAATTCCTTTGTTCTTTTAAGAACATTAGGTAAATGATTGTAAAGTGCGAAAAATATTACAGTTCAGGAAATATTAAAGTTTATGGCCAATAAGCAATATACTGATAGTTGTTATATCTGGCTCCTGATGGATGTATGCAAGTTTCAATTAATTCTGCAATTATCTGTGTTTAATAAAAGCAGACAGAAAATTTTATATCCGTAAATGATCAAGCAAGCTCAAGTATAAAATGTTAGAAAGTTGCAGCCTTTTTATTTAGTACCAAGAGAATGCCAGTAATTTAACATGATATCTTGATAATTGTTGCTCACAGAGTTTTAACAAGAAAAAAAATATATAAATTTTATGTCTTCTTTGGCATGTTATATATTCAAAATGATAGCCATTTCTTTAGCAGCACTGTGAGAGAAAAACACTGTAAAAATACACTACTGGATTTGGTTTATGTGATGAAAAGTGTGATACAATGAATCAAAACTTCAATGCCAAAAAGAACTGTGCTTTAAAGAAAATATCTGTAAGATAAATAATGGCATAAAATTTATAATAGTCAAAAAGAGAAAACAGATTTATCTGAACACTGGGGTCCTTTTTTTCAATTGTAGCTTTTAAGTTTGTAACTACATGTGAATCAAATTTATACATAACTTCTATTTAACACCATTTCTATCTTGAGAAGTGCAACAAAAGGAAGTAAATTAATACTTCTATATCAGAAAGTAGGTATATAAATTCAAAAGTGCTTGGGAAGTGGTGGAAAATCATTTTTTAAAGTCTCTATAGCATAGTATGCTCTCTGCATAAAGCCTATGTAACTCACAACTGCCAATGCTACTTCCTGTCTAAAAACAAAACAACAACAAAATATCAAACTCAGAAAAAACAATTTCCCTTTCTTGTACTATGGAATTTAGTGCCATATAATTTCCCATTTCAAAACCATGGTAGAATTTGCATGTTTAATTAAGATTTTATATATAGCTTTAAAAATGATGATTTCTTACTAGGCTGCTTTCCTGCCAATAAATATAATTTTATCATACTAAAAAAAACTTATATTTTTGCTATAAGTGGTATCCATATCAGAGAGAAGGTATTCAAACAGAAAAATCAAATATGATCTGAGCAATATTAGTTGATAGGAAAGAAAAAAGTAAATAATCTAATTGGTCACGATATAAATTATTAAAAAACTAATGCACTTATTTAAACATAAACTAAAACTATCCCACATAAAATTAATAAATCGTTTGAAGAGTAGTTTCCATAACTAGACAACTAGAAAGTAAAACAGTCATCCAAAGAATTCCCATTATCCAGAGTTTAGAAATGTAAACACAGAACAAACCCTAACATGGCAATTGTGTATGTGTGTACACACATGCACACACACACGTACATATACACATAACAAAAAACACATATGTATATATAAGCATTTAGCTAAATTTCTTGCTAGATAATAATTGAAAGATGCATCATTTGCCAATACAATATAAGTAAGCTTAAATTTGTCTATCCTAAAAGTACTTTTCCTTTGTCTTCTGCTTCATATTTCAAAGAAAGCTATGCCTATAATTTAGGATTTACCAACTTCCATTTCCTCCCATCAATCAAATCAGTAAATCAATCAAATTAATTTACTTGAAGTATATGACAGATTTCACTATTTTGTAAGACTAAAACTAGGAATAGTGCATTCATGAGATTAATATGTTGTGAATAATCACTATCAATGCTATTACATTCCTTCATAGGAAGGCAGATAACAATAATACTGATTTATTCTAGTAATTTCAGCTGCGGATCTTGAGATAAATGCTAAACTATGCCTGGATAAGTGTTGGAATGTAAAAAACATGTTCTAAAACAGTTTAATTGCAGTTGACCAATATCTATTATGGCTTGCATTTTTCTTGCAAAATAAATGATAAATAGGATTTATACATCCTGAAATCTAGACAAAGTGTTTAAAAACTTGGGATCCATAGATAGTTTGCATCCAAACTCTCTGTGCTTTTATTCTCTACCAATATGATGGGAGGAGGTATAAAAGTCCTTGTGTTACAAATTATGTACTTTGAGAAAAAAGAATACAGACAAATATGGGCTTAACAACATATACAGAAATGATCATCAATCACAGACTCTCTCCATACTATCTTGTAACAGAAGTTCATTACTACCAAAAAGCTTAGAAGATGGTAAAAGAAAATGAAGAGTGAAAATCAGAAAGTACTATGGAAAAAAGAAACAATTTATTATATAATTGAACCTTGGACCTACTGTGTAAGTTCTTTACACACACACACACACACACACCAAAAAAAACTTCACTGATAATAACTGAATTTAAAATTAATTTCTTTTTTGTTAGAATTTCTGAAACTCCTATAAACTAGAAACCTGTCTGTTTAGTGGACATATTCCTTAGAAAATGCCAATTATCTATTAGCCAATATTGGAAAAATGTGAAGTAATTTAATGAGACAGCATGCATTTCACTTTTTAGCTGAAAATAATTGTTCTGAGGGAATGGAAGTCCTGACATGGGGAAGAAAAAAGGATTGAGGCCCTTTTGGCACACAGAAAACAGGATAATTCTTAATGATGGAGTAGTCCCCGTGAGGTGTTTAAGTAGGAGAGCAGCAGAAAGAGAATGTAGAGTGCCAAAGACAAACTCTGCCTTGGTGGAAATATAATTTTTCTAGTGTAAAGTAAGTGTTGTTTTATTTTCCTTCTTTATCCATGAAAGGCCTCTTACTATTAGAATAAGACTATTCAATATGTATGAATAAGTGTCCATGGGCAGTACTATTTTAACATTGTTTCAATGGGGGAGATATTATAAACACCAAATATCTTTTATTAAGTTTGTGGGTTGCCTAACATGAAATCATTTTGAGCTAACCAGAAGAGCCAACAAAAATGTTTTATTATATCTAGTAACCAATGAAAATAAACTACAAATAACAAGGTTTAGGTATTCCTGAATCTAACAAAAACAGGCTCAAATTTTATCTTCATAAAAGAACGGAAACTACTGTTTTACCCACAAAAATCAATCAACAGTGCTACACTTCTAATTTTCTTGCAAATGGTTTCCTGAGTGTATTCACGGTAATATGTGCCTTAGAATGAAAGACTGTTAATCTACTGAGCATATTTGGTATTTTCCTTTAAGAAAAATAATAAATAAGTTCAATATTGTCTCCCTTTCAGAAAAAAAACTCAAACTGTTATATCATTAAATATTATACATAACCATTAACTGGAAAGAAAAACAATGTAAAATAATTCATGAATATATTAGAAACCACAGTATCATTTTGCTGGTCAAGCATTTATAGAAGTCTCATTAAAAATGTTCCATTCAAATCTAAATTTATGGTTAGAGTTATAGCCAAAAAGTAGATAATTAGGCATCCCTAGCTGGGCACCTCCTACAAAATAAGGGTACATTTTAAGTTTTCCTTTATAATAAAGTTGTCCTTACTACTATAGTTCTTAGGTTTGCATGTTTACATATTCCAGCAGAAAACTGTCTTACAATTATTGGGTATATTCACTTGTATCTTTCAGACTGTCAGTCCTCACTGGGTGATGAGGAATCATAATAATCACTGCTTATTTCTTATAGTGTTCCTTTCATGATGGAACTGTATGACATGATCTTTTTGAACATGTTAACTGAAAATTGACCATCTACTTTTAAAAACCATTGAATATAAAAAGCCGGAAGTTTATTTTCTGATCATTTTTCAATTTCACTTCCCTTAATTTTATTACATGAAAAGTATATATGGATATAATATTTGTGCTGAAAAGTTTAGCACTGAAATTATACCTCTGAGTTTGATGTATCAATTCTGATAAGAAGATGGCATAACAACACAAACAAGATAATGACAAGAGGAAAATAAATATATGGACACAAACTGTTACATGCAAGCACTTAATGTAATTAAGCAAAATGAAGAATAAAAAAGCCAAATTGGAACATAAAGAGCCACAAAATATAGTACCAATTTAACCACTTCTAAGTAATATTTCCATGTAGTATTAGATATTTTTAATGTTTTTTAATTGTTTCAAAAATCACCTCAAAATAAGAACACATACTTTTATATATTACACCCAGAAACAGATTTTTGTGCATGGTATAGATCACTTACATTATAAAGATAAGATGTATAATTGGTTTATTAAATACCAAAGGTACATGTCTTCTAGCCTAAACTGTATACTCAGCAATCAACTGTCTCTGAATTAAGAAAAAAAAATACACAGCAAACAGTACACCTAGCACACACAAGTAGTTCACTTATATTCATTAAACAAAACTATGATATCCTGCAAATTACATTCATGAGTTCTTTCTGTCAGTAGTAGTAGTAGTAGTAATGGTATTTTATTGAACAACACAAACAATTTTTTTTAATTTCAGTATTTAGAGAAAACAATTCATATTAACACAGTGGTTCTGAATCATAAATTTAATAAGACCAATTTGGCCAGATATCTTTTATAAATATGATTTTTAAATGTGCTCAACCTTTTTGTAGAGGATTAATATTACTCCTATTTAAAATGTTAGTTTTTCTTCTCAAAGCATAACTATTATGTAGCACTGTCTAAAGTTACTGAAATACATTATACTATACCATATGTGCTAAGAGCACAAGTCCACTACAATACAACTTCAACTATATAATCATAGGATTCAAGGTAGATTGGTATGCTACACTGTAGCTCAAAACACATAGAAATCAGAAAAATAACAGTGTAGTTCATTTATAAAGGGGATAGATGATGACTAAATCCAATTAGTGAACTTGAAAGTCTGGTTACATAACACCAAGATAGTGTTAACACCATGTACTTTATTATCAAAGGACTAACTATGACCTGTTTGGAAGATTATAACACCAGTATAAAGTCTTTTGATATTTTTTCATTTGTACAACAATTCTGTTAGTTGTAAATAGTTAGAAACCTTATGAAAACCTTTCCTAGATGAGTCCACTTATGGATAAATATTTAGGTCTGTCTCACACATTACTGGTGATTTAATTCTTCCATAAAAACTTTGGCACCAATCATATCATATATTAGGATAAATGCATCTCGCTCTGGCACCAAACTACTATGACAATAATTTAGTAGCCATAAATGGATGGAGTCCTTTGGTTATGCACAACAAACTTCCACACATTTGCTTTACTTTGTAGAAAAAAAAAGCCTATCCTTCAAGATCAGATGTTAAAAAAATACTGACGTTGCTTGGCATTACACTAAAAGCATGATTTCTAAACCATTATTATTTGAATCCACTGAAACTAAGAATAATTTTACTTGAAAAGAATTTTAGACATGTATGTGCAGAGAAGTTTTTAAGACCTGTGGATTACAATTATTTCCTGATACAAACACTTGGACATGACTACAAACAACATAGTATGAATATTGTGGACCTGTTTTATTTTTTTAACTTCACTTCCCTTAAATAAAGGGTCTAAACAGAATATTCAAGTAATATAGCAGAAAACAATGCTATTGATATAAGATTAGGCAAAAAGCCACATGTTTAATTTTCTCTTCATCCTGTTTAGCTGAGGAACACTGCAAATCTTACAAGCCAGTTGATGTTCGCTTTTTCATGCTCCGTCGCTGAGCTAAGCTTGAAGCAGCTACAGGCTCTAGGATTGGTTGAAAAGTCTTGTGATTCAGGGCAGAATATGTGGCAACAACTTCTCCCTAGAATAGAGTAATAATCTCAGATTAAATAAATAAATAAATAAATAGATAGATAAATGAATGAATCAATGAATGAATGAATACAAATTTCCCCATTATATTTTTCTAGGGCAAAATTATGCCCCAGGAAAATAACTGAGTATATTCTATGCACTGATTCTGCTTTGGTGAATTAATAACTGATTATTTGTATATTTTTCATTTAAACGAGCATTCTTCTAATGCAAAATTGTTAAGACACTAAAATGCAATATCTAGGCTCAATGTCTATGAATACAGAAACTGGAACAAATGGTTATAATATAGGAATTAATAGCAATCTTGTTTTCATATGAAACGTGACCATTTAGATCACTCCTAGATCAAGTGTCTCTTATAAGTAAGGCAATCAGTAATTAAGACTTTTTTTAAATTTTATCATCAGAAAGCCAGTAGCAAAGAAAAGTTAAGAAGAGTACAAGGTTGCTATTATTAAAATTTTTTTTTAAACTCTAAAAAATAAAGATATTAAGAAATTAAATACCTATAATTAGTGAATATCATACAATAGCTTCATTAGATAATAAGTTTTAGAAGGTACATAAAAGTACGTTTATTTTACCTTAACAATGTGTGATGAATCATTTCTATTTGGCTGATCATTCGGCAGCTGATCCCTGTGGGTTATCCATGAGTGCTTTAATACTTGTTCAGTAGTGTATCTCTGATGAGGGTCCATATGAAGCATATGGGAAAGCAAATCCTAAAAGAAAATGAAAAATATATATGGAAAATCTTGGGATAAGCTACATGATCAAGGGGAGAAAGGAGCTACTGAACTTGGCTGGTAAGCTGGGCCCAATGGTACAAGAGTATATGTATTTATACACAAAATAGAAGGGGCAGTCCAATGTAGTTAATTCGCTCATTAACTAGGGGCTTACTGCACAACATACTAAAGAAAGCAAAATATAAATCCAATGTTAGCAATTAGATGCTATCATAGCATTGTGAGTTTTACATCAGAGTAATTATAAATATGCTTATTTGAACTGTCATAATAAAATACTGTGAACTTAATATACTCTCATAGTAAAATACAATTTAAAAAAAATTAGTTGTAGATGGACACAATACCTTTATTTTGTTTACTTATTTATTTTTTTTTTTTATGTGGTGCTCGGGATCACAAGCACTTTACCACTGAGACACAACCCCAGCCCCAAATGAAATATTAAATATTCTAAATTATGTAACAGTTTAAATAAAATATCCTTAAAATATTTTATAAAAAGAGGTAGTAAACTCCTTAACAAGCATTTTCTAATAAAGAAAACCATCATTTGTGAATGAACCTCTCATCAATAGCAAAAGCAGAAACTAAAGGCTCTTAATAGTAATATCAGATTATAAAGAATGATAATATTGGCTGGAACTGTTTAAGGGACTAGGACAACCAAACAAGACAATCTACTAAGAAAACAACAGATGTGAATAAATAAATAAATATGTAGAATATTAAAAAAGATATCGGGCACATACTAACCACCTGATAAATGATGGTTATTATTATGATTCATTAAAACAACCAGCATCAAGCTGTTTCATAGTGGGGTAGGGAGGGGGAGCATGGGAGGAAGAGACAAACTCTAGATAGGGCAGAGGGGTGGGAGGGACAGGGAGGGGGCATGGGGTTAGAAATGATGGTGGAATATGACATTATTATCCAAAGTACATGTATGAAGACAAGAATTGGGTGAATACAATTTGTATACAACCAGAGATATGAAAAGTTGTGCTCTATATATGCAATATGAATTATAATACATTCCATTGTCATATATAACAAATCAGAATAAAAAACTAAAAAAAAATTTAAAAAAATAAGTTGCCATGACAAAGCAGCAAGGGTTATATTTAAAGCATAAAATGGACCACTGTTACAATATCACAATAAACTTCGCTAAAAGCTTCCAGAAAAAAGATAACCATTTCAATAAATCACATCTAAATTGAGATCATAAATTAAAAATAGAACCACTATATAATCTAGTATTCCCACTACTGGTAGGTATCCAAAGGAAATGAATTCAGTATATCAAAGAGATAACTGCATTCCAATGTTCACTGCAGCACTATTCAAAACAGCCAAGAAATGGAAACAACCTGTCTATACAATAATGAATGGATAAAAAAAAATGAGTACATATACACAATAGAACCCTATTCAGCTATGAAAAAGAATAAAATCCTGTAATTTGTTACAAACTGGGTAGATCCAGAATCATTATATTAAGTGAAGTAAATGATTCACATAACAACAAGTGCCTCATGATCTCACTCGTTATATGTGGAATCTAGAAAAGTCAATCTCATAGAAGTCCAGAGTTAAAACGGTGGTTATAATAAAAGGCCAAGGAGAACAGATGAAAGGGAGAAATGGGTGAAGGTTTATCAATGGGTGCTAAGTTACAGTTATATAGGAGCTAGTTCTTGTGTTACTGCATAGTAGGATGACTATAGATAACAATAAGGTACTGTATTTTTCAAAAGGCTAGAAGAAAGAATTTTGAAAATTTTCAACACAAAAAATTTATAAATGCTGAAGGAGAAAGATATGCTTATCCTGATTTAAATAGATGTATAGATGCATTGAAATATTACTTAGCATTTTGCTAATATGTAAAATCTTTATATTTTCACGTATCAGTTAAAAATCTGACATGGGCCAGGCATGATGGTGCATGCCTGTAATCTCAGAGACTCAGGAGGCAGAGACAGGAGGATCTGGAGATCAAAGCCAGCCTCAGCAAAGGTGAGGAACTAAGCAACTCACTGAGACCCTGCCTCTACATAAAACAAAACAGGGCTGGGGATGTGGCTCAGTAGTTGAGTGTCCCTGAGTACAATCCCCAGTACCCACCAAAAAAAAAAAAAAAAAAAAATCTGACGTTAAGATTTTTAACTGATATATGAAATCTACTGCTATGTAAAATACAATGCACCAAAAAGGATAGAATTTCAATAGTCCAAGGACTTCTGCTTCTGGCCAAAATGGAATATCATGAAATACCATGTGCTGGATTTACCCACCACCTACAATTCCAGAAAATAACAAACAAATCTTATGAAACAAAATAGATCAGATGATAGTCAATGAAGGGGAGTGATCCCTAAGAGATGAGAAACAAATCAGATAAGCATTATGTTTACCCCAACTTGAAAATATTTTTTGATTGCTGTGCAGTAAGGAAACCTAGTCAGAGCCTGTAAGTTTGGGTTGAGAAGACAGAACTGAGAATTAAGAGAGACTAAGACAAACTGAGTTAGCAGGACAGGATATGAGAGATGTAAATGTAGCAGAGAAAGAGAGAATTATGGAGTTCTGGAGAGGATATTCCTCAAGTACTCATATTGCTACAATAAACATTTGTTTGAAGAAACAACTGAAGAACTATCTCAAAGGATTGGAGTGAAATTGAACAAAAGCAATTTTGTACAAGTACAATGTGTCAATTAAAATAATTACTTTAAACTCTGGAAAAATATTTAGAGAAAAAATTGATATACATTATGCTCATTTAGTTCATGCATCTTGCAAAAATATAGCAATTTCTTTTTTGGACATAATTTATTTGTATGCTTTATAAAAATAGAAAATAAAAATGCTATCAGGGGAGGGAAGAACACACATAGGGTAAGAGTACATGGTTTTCAAAAACAAAGGCAAATATTACCAGGGATAAAGAAGGCCATTTCATAATGATAGAGGGGACAATTAATCAAGAGGACAAACTTAGTTTTATTGGTGCTTTATAATTATACATAATAGTGGGATTTATTGTTACATATTCTTACATGCACATAATATAATTTGGTCAACTGCATTTGCCTATCCTTTCTCTCCCTGTCCTCCTGTTTCCCCAACTATCTTCATGAGAGAGACGAGAGGAAGAAAACTTATAAATATTTATTTATGTAAAAATAGAGCTTTAAAATTTACACGAAGCAAAAAAACATTAAAACTACAGAGACAAATAGACAAACCCATAATTATAGATGAAAAAGTAAACATAACTATGGAGTCTGTAGATATGAACAGAAAAGTAAAGAAATATGAGAAACTTTATGAAAATATATCTAACACTGAGTAAATTCCTTGAATGTCAATGCCCATTCAAAAAGAAACAGATAATCTAAATAGCCATACCTGTTTGAGAAAATGAATGTGAAGCTAAAGACTTAACAACAAGAAAAACTTTAGTCCCAGATTGCTTCAGTGGCGACTTATAAAAAAACATTTAAGAGTAAGTAATTCCAGTTCTAAATAAGTGTTCCAGAAATTTAAATAGGAGGAAACACTTCCAATCTCATATAATGAGACCAATATTACCCTGATAACAAAATCAGACAGATATTACAAGAAACAACAGATCAATATCATGAACATAGATATTAAAACTGTAAATAAAATCAGTAAACAAAATTCAGCTATATATAAGGTCTAACTCATGATCAAGTTTATCCTGGGAGGGAAATGAGGTTTTTTTTTTTAACATTTGAAAAGCAACATAATTCAAATATATGCCAATGTAATCAAAATAAAATCCATGAGATTACCTCAATAGACACAGAAAGACTTTGATGAAATCTAACATCCACCTCTAATAAAATTTTCTTTAAACCATGAATGAACAGGAAAACACTTATTCCACTTAAGTAAAAGTACCTATGTAGAATATACAGCTAACACTATCCTTAATGGTGAAAAATGAATGCTTTCTCTTAAAATCAGGAATAAAAGAAGAATGCCCTCACTCTCCACTTTTACACCACACTGGAAGTTCTAGCCATTCACATAAAGAAAAGATATCCATATTGTAAAGAAACAAAACTACCTTTATCAGAAATAATGTCATCTACATAGAAAAATGATGCTACAAATATGCCACAATGATGTTCACTATTTTGTATAATTAATACATGCTAATAGTATAAATAAAGAGAAAATGGATACAATCTATATAAAAGCTACTACAATAAATGATATTAGCAAGGCTGCAATATACAAGATCAATATACAAAAAAAAAAAAAAAACAACTGTAAGTTATCTTTCCCTCTGGAGATAGCTTATAATTATCCCTTAAATGTGTTCTCCTTGCTTAGCCTCCAAAGTTTCTTACTATATAAATGTGCCAGCATTCTCCCTTGATGTATATTTCCTACTTTACCCCGCTAAATGTATTTCCCCTGAGATAGTTCACATTCTCTCTTGAATGTATTTCTGCTTTTTAAAATAAATGTCACAAAAAGTGTATCATGTAATATGAAATCAAGGAATTAGCATACTATCACCTTAAATTTTCAAAACTTCTTTAGTAAATATTCAAAATACTCTTTTCCAGCCATTTTAAGAGGTGTGATGCATCATTTTTAACCATATGTGTGAGAAATAAATTTTAGAGGTCTGTGAAGAATGTCAGTGGCATTGTAGTTTTCTTAATTTTTCTTTCACTGATGTATAGCACCTCAGATAGAGCACTAATCTCTAGGATATATACAAAACTGAAAACACTAACACCAAAAATCAAATAATCCAATCAATAAATGGGCTAAGGAACTGAACAAGACACTTCACAGAAGATGAACTACAATTTATCAAAAAACATATAAAATATTCATCATACCTAGTTATTACAAAAATGCAAATCAAAACTAAGATTTCATCTCACTCCAGTCAGAATGGCAATATCAAGTATACAAGCAAAAATACATGTTGGTGAGGATGTGGGGAAAAAAGTGCACTCATATATTGCTGGTAGGACTGCAAATTGGTGCAACCACTTTGGAAAGCAGTATGAAGATTCCTCAGAAAACTTGGAATGGAATCACCATTTGACCCAGTTATCCCACTCTTCAGTTTATACCTAAAGAACTTAAAATCAGCATACTACATTGGTGCAGCCACATCAATGTTTATAGCAGCTCAATTCACAATAGCCAAACTATGGAACCAACCTAGGTGTCCTTCAATAGATGAATGGATCAAGAAACTGTGGTATATATACACAATGGAATCTTACTCAGCCTTAAAGAAGAACAAAATTGTGGCATTTTCTGGTAAATAGATGGAACTGGAGAATATTATGCTTAGTGAAATAAGTCAATCCCCAAAAGCCAAAGGCCAAATGTTTTCTCTGATAAGCAGATGCTGACCCATAATGGAGAATGATGAATAAAGGGACTTTGGATTGTGCAGAGGGGAGGGAAGGAAGGGGAGAGGGTGTGGGAATGGGAAGGACAGTGGAATGAGATGGACATTATTACTCTATATACATGTATGATTACACTACCAGTGTGACTCTGCACCATGTTCAGCCACAGGAAGAAGTTGTGCTCCATTTGTGTATAATGTATCAAAATGAATTCTACTGTTACATATAAGTAATTAGAACAAATTAAAAAATAAATAAAAATAAATAAACTTAGAGAGGGAAGAAAAACAACATGGTTTTATTTGCATATATACACACATACACACATGATTACACTACTTATAAATAAATATATGTAAATTATATATATGTATGTATGTGTGTGTGTGTGTGTGTGTATATATATATATATAAATAAATGGGACAGGGTCTCCCTAAGGTGCTTAGGGTCTCACTACATTGCTGAGGCTGGATTTGAACTTGTGATCCTCCTGCTTCAACCTTCCAAATTGCTGTGATTGCAGGTGTGAACCACCATACTCAGCCTCATATGGTACTTTCTTGTAAAGAAATTGAAATTGTCCACACATCTGCAGCACAGTTGGCTGCTTACTCCATACTGCATTTGCTCCAAGGGAGTGTGTATGATCTTGTCCTCATTGCCATGTTGACATACCAATTGTTGGCCTGGAGGGAGATGAACTGATGACATCCCTTCCCTAAAACCACTTTGTGGGTCCTCATCTCACATACACAGGCTGACTCCAAAGACTGATCTGGAGAACATGAAGCACTTTGATCACATTAAGGAGGTGCATGGATGTTAAAATATAAACTGTGTTTTGGGCATACCATAGAGAGAAAGTGGATCCTCAATAAAAGTGGAAGATACAGCCATCCCCAAAGATGCATTAATCTCAATATGGAAATATAGGTGACATGAGAAAAATAAAGCAATAAGACTGAAAAAAGATCAAGAATGAGAACAGGATATCCATTTTTCCAATTCTTGTGTTATAAAGTACTAGAAATTATAGCCAGAGCAATTAGGCAAGAAAGAAAAATTAGATACAAATAAGAAAGGAGGAAGTAAAATTATCCATGTTTGCCAATGATATGATTCTCAGAAAACCATAAGATCTCCACCAAAAGACTCTTAGAATTACATTTTGTAAAGCAGCAGGATACAAAATAAAAATAAAAAAATCAGTAACATTTCTATATAAGCAATAATGAACTCACTAGGAAAGATATCAGAAAAGCAATCTCATTCACAATAGCCCCCCAAATGAAATAAGATATCCAGGAATAAACCTAAGGATGTGAAAGACCTCCACATTGAAAATTATAAAACTCTGAATAAAGAAAATGAAGAAGACATTAGAAGCAGAAAGATATCCCATGTTCATATTTAAGAGAATTAATATTGTTAAATTGGCCATATCACCCAAAGTGATCTACAGATTCAATGCAATCCCCATCAAAATATCAATAACAGTCTTCACAGAACTAAAAATAATCCTACAATTTATATGGAATTGAAAAATATCCTGAATTTCCAAAGCAATCCTAATCAAAAAGGGCAATATTGGAGGTATCACAACACCTGATTTCAAAACATACTACAGAGCCATACTAACAGAAACAGCATGGTATTGGCATTAAAAATCAAACAAACAAACAAAAACAAGCACACAGAGCAATGAACTTGAATTAAAGACCCAGAAATAAATCCACACATCTAAAACCCACTGATTCTGGACAATGTGCCACAAACATAAATTGAAGAAGACAGCCTTTTCAACAAATGATTCTGGGAAAAATGGATATCGATATGTAGCAGATTAAAACTAGATCCATACCTCTTATCCTGTACAAAAATAAATGTAAAAGGGTAACAGACCTAAATGAAAGATTTAAAACTTTAAAACTACTGGATAAAAACAGGCAATACACTTCAAGATACTGGCACAGAAAATTATTTCCTAGATAGTACTACAAAAGCCCAGCATACAAATCAAGAATTGACAAATGGAATTACATAAAATTATAAAGCATCTGCACAGCAAAAGAGAGAGTGAAGGGAAATCCCACAGAGGAGAGAAAAATCTTTGCCAGCTGTTCATCTGACAGAGGATTAATATCTGGAATAGGTAAACTCAAAGCTATCAATAGAAGCACAAATAATTCAATCAGTAAATAAGTCAATGATCTGAATAGATCTTTTCACACACACACAAAAAGCACAAATGGCCAATATATACATGAAAAAAATGCTTATGCTCAACATCTTTATCCATCAGGGACATGCAGTTCAAAATGCACTGACATTCCATTTCTCTCCAATCAGAATGGGTATTAGTAATAAATAAATAAATAAATAAATAAATACTGGTTATGATATGGAGAAAAAGGAATCTTTATTCACCTTGGAGGGAAAGTAAATCAGCAAAGCCATTATACAAAACACTATGGAAGTTTCTTAAAAACTAAAAATACAATTACCACATGATTCAGCCATACTACTCCCAAGTATATATCCAAAGAAAAAAATTCAGCATACAAAAGAGTTATATACATGTTCACATTTATTATGACATTATTCACAATAGCCAAGATATGGAATCATTTTAGGTGCCCATCAACAAATGACTGAATAAAAAAATGTGATATATGTACATAATGAAGTATTATTTAGCCCTAAAAACACTGAACTCATGTGAAGAAAGATGAATGGAACTGGAAGATGTCATGTTAAGTGAAATACATCAGACTCTGAAAGACAAATATTACATATTTTCTCTCAAATGTGGAAGCTAGAGGAAGGAAAAAAGATGATATGAAAATAGAAGAGGGACATTAGTGAATGGGAAAGGGCCCATGCAAAAGGGAGTGAAAAGGGAGGGGGAAAGAATGTAGAAAGTAGAGTGGACCTGATTGAGGTATGTACATGCATGTACAGAAATGTCACAATGTCACCCATTAATTGATACAATATGTTAATAATAAAGAAATACATGACATGTCAGATACTCTGCAAATAAACATTAGGATAAAACTTAAAGACTTTAGCAAATGTAACAAAATAATACATTTTTAATTTATACCTTTGCTCCATCTGAAATATTATCCCAGTTTCCACCACTCAAAGAGAACTTGCCATTGCCTATACGAAGCAGTATCTCTTCCGGAGTATCATTGGGGCCATTAGCAAATGGAGTGTAGCTATTGATAAAATAATTTCAATAGACATAAAAGTCAAGCATGCATAATAAATATAATGGAGGACATGAATATATAATTATATGTAAATATTTATTATAGAAAATTACAATCATCTAATTCTTGCAATGTTAATATCAATTGTATACTTCAAATAATGAATTCTAATCCTAATAAAGTATTTAATAAAATTAAGAATCTTGCCTATATCATTTTTTCCTTTTGTCTTTGGTCCATTAATCAATGTAAAAAAAAATGAGTGGCTTTCAAGTAAAGTTAGTTTTAGAACCATACCACAATAAAACACACATTTTGTATTCTCTTAGGTTAAGTAAGCAAACAAATATATTTACTCTGAGGGAAATGTTATTGATGTATATTTAAAATGTTTTTATTGTGTTAGTTGAATTTTTCATTAATATTTTACTTTTATCAACATTATTAGTGGAATAGGTCCATAATACTTTTAATGACTGTATATAAAAAGGTTAAATATTTATATCAATATAATTAAAATCTGGAGACATTAAAATTATTATGTAGATCAAATTACTCATGGATGGGAAGATAAAAAATGTCAAGTTAAAGTTGTTTTTAAAAATTAATCAGAATGAAAAAGTTAATCATATTTGTGCCATTTTAACAGGTGGAACTGAAATGCTATTGAAATTTGGGACTTGGAAATCTGATCCATAGTTACAAATGGGTGGACTATACTGTCTGAATTACCTCATATAACAATTAAATTAAGAAAATGCTAAATACACATATAAACCATAATTTCTCGTTTAGTCATGATGTAAATATTTGAAAGCAGCAAGTTTCAAATAACATCCTATGGTTTAAAAACCAATAATGTTGACTGCATTTGATATGAAAATGTTAGCTACCTTTAATTTGAGCATTTGTTGTAGTTTATAACTGAATATTCTGCATAAACTTGAAAGATCTAAAAGTTATATGAAATTCAATGACATGCAATTATCACTATTCCAACTGAAATTTCAAAGCAATTGTTTTACATTTTTATATGTAAAATTTGCATGTTTTTGTAGCACTTAAAAAATTAAACATTAGGACTGGGGTTGTGCCTCAGTGGTAGAGCTCTTGCCTAGCATGTGTGAGGCACTGGGTTTGATTCTCAACACTGCATATAAATAAATGAATAAAATAAAGTATAATTTTATTAAATATATATTGCTAGGAAAACTAGAATACAAGTACCTAAAAAATGAACATCAATAAGTTCAATGGGCAAGCTCCTATTGAAATACAATTATCTTATGATCAGGTAAAAACATTAAAAAGTAATATGCTCAATGTAAACAATTAAAATATAAATGTACACTTTATTCTAAAATTTTTATTCCACTTAAAATCCCTTTTCTAATTACTATAACTCAACAGTACCTCATATACAGTATGTTGTGGTTTTAATCTTTTGAAACGTTAGGAAGATTTTTCTTCAGGTTATTTTTTTCTATTCTCTTTGTAAGATAAAGATATATAGGTGAGATTTAAACAATAACATGAGGATATCAGTTTCTTACCCAGCCAACATCGTGTAAAAAAGGACTCCTAAACTCCAAATATCACAAGCAGCATCATATCCCTGCTGCATAAGAACCTAAGAAAGAAATATTCATTATGTGGTATTACTTATTATAAATTCAATTTTCCCATCCAAAACAAAGTTGTTTTGCTTCTAATAGTCCCACAAACGCTCACACTATTGAAGTGTAAATCAGTTTAAATACTTAATATTGTAAGTAGTCTTCTGCAATTAGCAAGCAGTGAAAAAAAAATGGCATTATAGATTACTTTAGTAACATGGACCATACCAAAAAACAACCTTGACTTTAAAGAGCTTTCACCCCTCCACACAGGACCTGAGATATACAAACACCTAAATTTAAGACTGATACGTACAGAGAGTTTATATTATAAGAGTACTAAGACTTTTAATTCTGACGCTGACTCTATGCCAAAGGTATTATTATTCCAATTTTGAAGATGAGGAAAGAGACAGATGTTAGGTAACTTGTCCAGCATCACAAAGCTAGGCAATAGTAGAGCAGGCATTCTTACTCTAGAATATGTGCTTTTAATATCTATCATAACTGCCTCTTTAGTACACGAGATGTGGTAGGATAATATTTTTTTCTTACATATGATGGATAAATGTATATTTTACATACAAGGCTGATGTATTGAGATCAGCAGTGTATTTCTAGACTACAAATACACATTTGATATATGTTGAATAGCTTTTTAAATTTTGCATACGTTTTTGCTCACTGGAACAGTATTAACAAAAATCAAATAATATCTTAATATTCATGTGGTATGAAGTTAATAGTTTGTTAGAAAAATAAAGATATGAAATTAAGCCTTTTGTATTTTTTAGAAAATAAGCCTACTGCTAAAGCCTCTAGACACAGAAACATTATTGATGCATTAACCCTGAGGACTACATCAACACTAGAATGGACTTTTTACCTATAAAAGGCTAAAACTATTAATGTTTGGTTTTACCAAATGGCAGGCATGAATAATGAGTATTTTACTGATTTAAAATTAGATATAATGAATTTTCTTATTCAAAGAATACATGTCCAATAGTGAGAAGCTAAAGAAGGTATCCCAAATTATTAAAACACATATACACAGAGGGACAGAGATAGGGAGGGAGATGGGAGAAGAAAAAGAGAGATCAATTTGCCTTAAGTAAATAATAGAAGTAGAGAATACAGTGGCCTTAATAAATACCACTATAGATAAACTACTCATATCAGAGTAAACTTAAGTTAGTATGCTCTAGTAAAACATAAACCTTTACCCCTAGCTCTTTTTGTGTTCTCATTACCTCTTATAGTTGTAAGAATCCCATATTTTCTCTGATTGCCTTAGGAAGCTTTGAAAGCTTCCCTGATTATCCATTGCATAGCCACACTTGAGGGCCATTGTTTAAGCTGGGTAGGTGAGGGTTAAACAACAAATAAGCTATTGGTATTTCATATTTCTATATCCTTGCCAGATTCTGTGGCATGCACCTGTAGTGCCATCTACTCAGGAGGCTGAGGCAGGATGATTGCTTGAGCCCAGAAGTCTGAGGCTAGTCTGGACAATATAGTGAGTCTTTTTCTCAAACAAAACAAAACAAACCATACTTTTATAACCTTCCTAGTTATGAGAAAGTGTGCAGGAGGTGTAACTCTGCTTAAATAGGGCTGACCATGAAAACCTGATACTTAAAACACATACTGTATGGGTAAAGAAGAAGCAATTCACTTTTGTTCTAGATCTAGTCTCAAATGTCCTACAATAGTGAGAACATGCACTTACAAAAGAAACATGGTAGGGAGATGTGATGAATAAAAATACAGTACAGAGGCTTTTTCACACGTTTTTACTTGCATTAAATTAAATACAGAGGAGAAGGAAATCACAATTCAAGTAATCACTGCCATAACTTTATCTGAAATTTGGTTTCTTAAGTTAGCAAAAAGTAAAATATACAGATATTGTCATTCCCTTTGCTCTAAAGTTTAAATTAATTCACATTTGGATCAAAACATATGCCAGAGCCAGTGCAAAGCAGGGTAACTTCAATATTACTTTATCAGAAGCTGCAGACACAACATTCCTCAGATCTGTCATAAGCTCCATTCAATCATGAACATTTAGACTTCAGTAGGCATTAAATACAAGTTTAATAATATGACATCATAATTTTTCCTTCATAAAGTAATAAAAAAAATGAAGATATATTAACTTTTGGGACACAGTTATGTAGTAAAGCACATCTATGAAGTAAACCTTAAGAGGTTGATTGAAGTGATGTATATCTTAAATGGTGAATGAATGTTCTCTCCCTATAATAAAGCTAAAGCTATAAAAATAAGTTGTTCTCTTAGTAAACCAGGACTCCATATGAACTATGATGAAATAATCTCAAATCATAAAAGGCCCATAAAACAGTGTCATGCCTGTTTTTAATATCAATATCTTAAAACAAAGGCTGGTCTGTAGCTCAGCAGTAGAGCACTTGCCTAGCAGGGACCTGGGTTCAATCCTAATGTAAATAAATAATATCTTAAAAAAGATTCATAAAATTTTAAAATGAGAACTTTTCATTATCAGAAAGTTATATTTCTATATTTCTAGTTTGATTATTAGAAAAATATTTTTCCAATAGCTACTTTAAATATATATTACATTAATATATAATACTATCTTGAAAGGGCTGACATTTATAAAAATAAAATCATAAAATATGCCTATGAGATATTACTTCATCTTTAAATTATTGTCCGATTTTTCCTGATTTGAAAATTCAAATTTTCAAACCTGAAGTAGAATTTTGATTTATATTAAACAATGATTTATACCAATTATAAATATTCATATATGTAAGAACAATTCCTAATTTACAAACAAACTTATACAGAAACTTTTGTAGCCAATGCCATCCCTAACTCATTTTTCACCAAACTTTCTTTCACTGCTGTGGCAGGTGCTAGTATCATAGTCTCTATCCCATGGTTGGAATAGTTAGTGCTTCCTATATATGAAATCTGCTCCTCTACTAAGCCAGTCTGACCTCTTCTATTTCTTCCCCCTGATATCTACATGTAAATGCATTTACCACTGTAAAATAAATAATGCCCTGTTTATAAAAATTCCTGTGTGGTTATTTTCTCTGGCAGTTAGAAGATCCTAAAGAAAATCGGGGACACCACTGACCTTATATATTATACATAATGCTAACTGATATAAATAATTGCATGTTCAGCACAAACTGATTTTGTTGCTAAGCCATTGTTAGGTTTTGAAAAATCATTTAAGTACTTTGAGCCTCAGTCTCCTCATTTAGAATATGTAATATGTTAAGGCTGTGACCTGTCTTTACCCTGTCTCCCAGTTCTAAAAATGGTACGATTCTAAAACTAGTATAAAGCCTGACAGAACAGTCTGATTATTATATTCAGATTGGTTTAAGATGCTCATTATTAGTCTGAATATTTACCTTAGGTATTACTGCAATTCACTAATTGAAAGAGTTTACAGCTGGGAAGGACAAGATAACTCAGCTTTTACCTGCCTGCCTTAACATATACATGGCATTGTTATGTTAATGAAAGGCAAACACAGAAGTATTTAAATACCTCAGGTGCTACAAAGTTTGCAGTGTAGCAGGGAGTTAAGAGAAGTCCATTTTCTCCTCGAAGCTGTTTTGCAAACCCAAAATCACAGATCCTAATTGAATCTGCATTCGCTGATTCATCCATGTATAAAATATTACTAGGTTTAAGATCACGATGAACAACCTTGAAAATAAAGTAAAAGAAGCATTACATTTATATAGCTAGCTAAATATTTGCCAAACAAAACATTTCAATGTTTCCCAGAAAAGAAACTCCTAATTATTACATATTGAAAATGACTACTGCTCTGATATATGGTCTAAAGTATACACAGAAAATTATCTCTTATCAGATATACACTCCAGTCTCCACTCAAGCCACCAGTGTTGTTAACCTTTTCCAATTTCAACTCTCAGTTCCACTTTTGGATATTATGGACTAAGACCTTACCAAATGTACCCCTACACACAGTAAACAACTTAAAAGCTGGATATAATATAAAAACTCAACTATATGAAGGTGCTGTGTGAATATAAGTAGAAAGAACCTGGTAAAAAACATACATTTGGTGCAAAGAAGAAATATAGTGATCTACATGAGTAGGTTCCGGTAACTGTGACTTTTAGCCCAGGGTTGTGTGCAATCCCTACAATACACAGTGGTGATAAAGACATGTATGGAAAATCCTGCAGTATTTCTGGCTTGAAGAAAAAGAAAATAGATTCTGGGGAACTATTAATGCTGACTCAGGAAATACTATATATAAGTGAAAGCCTGAACAGACTCCTGAATCAAAAATTTGTAAAACAGCCAGCTCAGGGAGGCTGAGACAGAAGGATCAAAGCCAGCCTCAGCAAAAATGAGGCACTAAGCAACCAGTGAGACCCTGTCTCTAAATAAAGTACAAGTAGGGCTAGGGATGTAGCTCAGTGGTGGAGTGCCCCTGAGTTTAATCCCTGGTAAACCATTCCCAAAAGTATAGAAGATGGTTAAAGTAGCTCCTATAAAGACAAAAGATAGGAAGAGACCAGAGCTGCTCCCCTCCAAATAGAAATTTTTAGTTCAAGAGCAAGTTGCCTTCTTTTTGAAGAGACAGGTATATCTGCACAAAGTGGTATCTGCTTATGATTCAAGCTATTCAGGAGGTTGAGATAGGAGAATGCCAAGTACATGACTGGGTTGGACAATTTAGCCTGACCCTATCTTAAAATAAATTTATAGGGTTAGAGATGTAGCTCAGTGGTATAAAACTTTCCTAGTATGTGTGAGGCTCTGGGGCTAACTCCCAGTGCTGAAAACAAAAACAAACAAACAAAAAAGACAGGAGGCAAAATAAGAAGTCTGCCTGCCTCTCCATCACAAATATATTAATATTCCAAATGTTTGGAATCTAAATTTCTTACTACATTTGGGAGAGTGAAATAAGGCACACAGGAGAACTACAAGAACTTCACATGTCAGGTATAATTTCAACAATTGTTACAATATGTCCTTCAATAATTGTTTCACTTTTAAGTTTGATTAGGTTCAATAATTTCAAAGGCAAGATTAGGCATATCTGTATAGTTCAAACCATGTTTAAAACTAATACACTATTAAATCAAGGCCAAGAGACAGAAGAAAACTAATAAAGCACTAGCCAATTTCTTTAATGCATAACCTTTACTACATTATGAGTTTTATTAGGATATTCTTTATTAAATATACAAGTGGCAGAAAAAGCAATTCATTTTAGGTGGCATCAACTCCTAATATAATTTCATGAAGATATGGGTCCCATAACTATATGGAAGACTATAACTTACTCCTTGACAATGAAGATAATCAACTGTCTTAGTTATTACATACAGTACATCACTAGCTTCCTGTTCTGAGAAACATTTTTGCTTGAGAATACGGTCCAGTAGTTCTCCTCCTTTCATCAAATCCGTAACAAGGTAAACATATCTACCATCATCAAAGACCTAAAAAAGAACATATTTTAAGGTGTTATTATTTGCAATTATAATTATAAACTGTTTAAATTATACTTACTTTGCAAGTGAACCTCTAGTATATAAAATAGATACATTATTTTTTTTTTTACTTTGGTAAGTTATAGTTCATCAAATGATATAAATGAAAAAGTAAAACTCCATGACTTTCAAATGATATACATCAAGTTTTTTAATATATTATAGCTATTTTTTCATCCCTAACAGTGAAGTTTTCTTTCCAACAGTAAGCATATTATTTGTCAGTCCATTTTCTGACCTGGTGTCTTAAGTATATACAGCATTCAAATAGTGTTTCAAAGAAAATAAATCAGAAAAATATTTATACCCTTTACACTCCAGGCATGTGGCATGAGAGGAGCATGTTTGTATGTGTACATACAAATATATGTTCATTTTACAAATACTGTTTAACTCAAGAAACAAAAAATCTATAATGCCACAGCCAACTGCTATATAATCAAGAAAATAAGCCAGGTGCAGTGGTGCAGTCCTGTAACCCTAGTGGCTTGGGAAGCAGAGGCAGGAGGATCACAATTTCAAAGCCAGTCTCAGCAAAAGCAAGGTGCTAAGCAACTCAGTGAGACCCTGTCTCTAAATAAAATACAAAACAGAGATGGGGATGTGGCTCAGTGGTTAAGAACCCCTAAGTTCAATCCCCGGTACCCTCCCCCAAAAAAGAGAAAGTAAACTCTTCAAGAACCTGGTAGACAACAACTACAGAATAATAAATGGTGCTAATTACAATGTTAACTACTTAACCAGCCAGAATATATTTAAGTAATGAAGACACTCTCTTTTAGCAACCACTATAGTGTTTTGTTCTGTTTGTTTTGTTTTTGGCATTCTATGAGAATAGGAATACAGAATCTTAGGAAAAGAGAAATAATGTGGTAAATTTAAAAGTCTTCACATTTTATAGTATGACATTATAAACAGTACAAATATAAAGATACAAGTCATAGCTTCTCTAATATAGATTATATTTATATTTCAAAATACTTACATCCTTTAAAGTAATAATGTTGGGATGCTGTCCATAGCGCATCAAAATTTCAATTTCTTCTGAGGGGTCTCGCTTACTTTTGTCAATGATCTAACAAATTGGATGAAAGAAAAAAAATCATTTTCTTTGTCTAAAATGAATGGAATATTTTCCGTTTGTTTATACATATAAACAGATACTTAAAACTCAAGGATACTGCTTATTACATTAATATTTAAATATGTTCTATTACTGAAACTTAACAAATAAGAACTTTCTTTAATATTATATTCCATTTCTCTGAGACTATATTAAATGATAATGTGTTCCAAATGAATTGTAACTGTCACTGCCACTCAATCTTAATATGGTATATTAAAAGTATTCAAAAGCAAAAATTTCATGAAATGCATTGTTCCACCAAAAAAAGCCTTGCAAAGAATTTCAAAATGAAAATATTCTTAGAATTCTTTTGCATCATATTATCTCTCCTCTCTCTTTTTTATTCCACTGAAAATGTCTGCAGTTAACCTATATTTTAAATTACAAATATCAAACAAACAAGTTAAGCTTAGTGACAATACCTTCACTGCAAATTCCAAGTTGGTAGCTGTATGTATACATCGCTTGCAAACAGAATAAGAGCCAACACCAATATCCTCTTTCAATTCATATACTTCACCAAATTGTGCAGCATTTCCATTTATCTGTTTTTATTTTAAAAAGTAAACAACTAAGAAGAATGAAATATTTTCACATTTTCTATCTTTTGTTCTAAATATATATTCATCTTAAATCTTAAAATCTCCAAAATAACTCATTCTAGAAAAGTTTTATTAATATTTATAAATTGGTTATACAGTTTGTGAATCAATTTAAATTACAAGCTTTCTGGTTTCTCAAGGCCAATATGATCAATCAATTAGATTTTGCCAACATGTTCTTGCAAATACAGATCATTAAGTATAATTTAAGGTTTTTAACTCTCTTTTTTTTCTGAACCACACAGAAACACATTTAAATTACTTTTTAAAAAAATTATGGAAAATCCACCATCAATAACAGAGAAAATAATTATCCCCAAACTTATATTTTCCCAAACTGAATAATGTGATTAAGTAGAATTTACCTGAACAACTGGCAATACGTTTGCACTTGTGATTGGAGTGATTTTATATTCTTCGGCAATAGAAGTTGCAACAAAGCTAAATCCTTTGAAAAGCTGATGAGCATTTGCACTAGCTGGCAAACCAGGAGAATCTAATGTTCAAATAAATATATAATTAAAATTATACAGAATTTTATGGTATAAAATGTGAGCAGTTTTTCAAATGTAAGGGAAACCATTAAACTTGACCATCTGACATACTATTTGATTTATACTATATCATTTGTCTCTCATCCCTAGTATGCATATTCCATGTGGTCAGTAATTTTTGTCTCTTTCGTTACTGCCACTTCCTCACTGTCTAGTACCTGGTAGGCATTCAATATTTGTTGAATAAATATATGACTAGATAACATAATCAGTAAACCATAGCAAAATCTGAACTGAGTCTGTATAATATATCTCCAATCTTATTTCTTGCCCTTTACCCTGTATTTCATTAGCATGTCAAAAGAATTACGAAATGGGAAAAAAAGTGCCTCCCACTTCTCTAGTCCCTGCTTCTCTGATAGATGTGTTCTATTTAAAGATTCTACTTCACAGGAGGCCAAGAAATGTTGTACATTACTCCTTGAAAACTTATTATTAATATTTTACTAAGGATTATAGTTTATTTAATCATCAATACAATAAAAATTGTGATTTTATGTGTAAGCGTGCATTACTTACCTTTGGGCGTTTTTGCAGTAAATTCAGGATCAAAACAAAAAGTATCATCTGGTTTTCCAGAAGCAGGTTTGAAAGGTGGTTGAACTTCTCTTTTATATAATTTCTAGAAATAACAGGGTAACACAAAATACTTAACATTTAAAATGTTATTATATATGTTGAGCATTCCTAGTCCAAAATCTTAAGTCAAAATGCTCCAAATTCCAAAATCTTTTGAATGTCAACATGATATTTATTGTGGAAAATTCCACAATAAATCTCACATGACAGGTTGCAGCTAAAATGCAGGCTGACTAAAAATCTTCTGTAAAATTACCTTCAGGTTATGTGTACAAGGTATATATGAAACATGAATGAATTTCATGTTTAGACTGGCCCCATCCCGAAGGTATTACATATGAATATACAAATATTAAAATCTGAAATCTATAATATTTATATTTCCAAACACTTTAGACAAAGTAAGGTGAGGTAGAACATAATATTCACAGTTCTTAAAATAAGACTCACAATTCCTTCAGATATCTGTTATTTAAATTCTTAAAAAATTTAGAGACAATGCCCCAAATCAATTGAGACCAAAAAACACAGCAATTATGCCACAACTTGCATTCACAAGGAATATAATATTCAATTTCAAGTATTAAAAAGCTGATTAAAATTCTCATTGGTGCTATAACCATATGGAATATGTCCTAATGTCAACCTGAAAATTAATCAATGTTTATATTATTAAAAATCAATAGTTAGACTATTTTCAATAAGTATGTATTTTAATTAAAGTACTATGATTTCCCATGGAAATGCACATTAAATTTACTATTTAGAGCTTTATTCACAGAATAAAATGCAGTATTTTAAAAAATATTTTTTAGATGTTGATGGACCTTTATTTTTTTCATTTATTTATATGTAGTACTGAGAATCAAAACCCAGGGCCTCACACATGCTAGGCAAGTGCTCTTACTACTGAGCCACAACTCTAGCCCATAAAAATGCAGTCTTGTTTAACAATCTCATTTGCTAAAATTTTTATATTTAAAAACACAGTAGGGTGGAGCAAGATGGCAGCTAAGTTCCTCTGGCAATCTTTTCTCACAGAAGCTCTGAATACCTATTCATCCATCAAACTACCTTCACAAAAGCTGATGAAATCAAGTCAGAGATCATAGTTCCAGTTTTTAGTATATAAAAAGGAAGCATCAAATAAGGCTGGAAGGAAAGCAATATAGTGCCTACAACAAACTTGCTTCATCACTAATGACACACTTAGACTGTAAGTGGAGGCATAGAATAAAATAGTCCATGCAAAAAGAACACAGGAATAGCCATATTTTTATCACATTAAACCAATCTTATTAAATGCAGAGACATGGAAAAGTCTCTATATAAGGATAAAAGGGTCAATTCAGCAAAGTTAAATAACAATCCTAAACATATATGTATCCAATACAGAAGTACCTAAATATATAATGCAAATATTAATATACCTAAAAAAGAGGTAGACTCGTACTACACTACTTAGGGACTTTTAACACCCTTATCTCAGCAATGGAGAGATCATCCAGACAGAATATTGACCCACAACGAGTGGAGTTAAAGTGCACCAGAGACCAGTTTTTAAACACTAAGACAAATATTTGAGGATATTCGTTAACTTAATTAAAATACTATACATATATCAAAGGACTGTTACTTAAATAATATGTATAATTTTCTGCTTTTACATGTTAGTTCAAAGTAAATTTAGTTTTAAAAGATAGAAAATATATGTATGCAACAATGTTTTAGAAAATTACTTTTTCACAGCTCACAGTTCCTTAAAAAAATTTAGAGAGAGTTACATTAAAGGAATTTTCACATATTGAAATATGTAAACTTTCCACTAATTTATTTAAATTAAAGACAATGAAGGGTGAGAAACGTTGATCAGTGGGTACTAAGTTACACTGGGGTAGAAATCAAAAGTTCTGTTGAACTATTGCATAATAAGTTCACTATAATAACAATAATGTACTGTACATTTCAAAAAATTTTAACAAAATATTTTGAACATTTTCAGTATAAAGAAATGATAAATGGGGTAAGGGGTTGTGGCTCAGTGGTAGAGCGCCTGCCTAGCACATGCTGAGTTTTATCCTCAGTATCACATAAAAATAAATAAATTAAATAAAGGTATCGTGTTCAACTACAACTAAAAAATTAATATTTTTTAGGAAAAAGAATGATAAATATCAGAGGCGACAGACATGTTTACTCTGATTTAAACATTAAAAAACATACATGTCTCTAAACATTGCATGGTACCCCATACACAAGTACATATTTATGTTTTAATGTATTAGTTAAAAATATAAATCTAAAAAAATAAACAAACTATTTAGATATAGAAATGGGAGAAATGTACTTTCCTTTTTTCTAGGTAAGTGGAAAGGAAGAATAGAAGAGCACTGTGAGAAAATGAAAAAGGAATACAAAGATACCTAAGATTTACAGAGATATGACAAAGAGCTAGCTCCCATGCATGCATGCCCACTCAGTGGTGTTTGGGGGTATTACAACCAATGGATTACAACCAATGGATTACAAGATGATACGGTTTTGCAATAATCAAATTTTGCCAACTGAAACTGTGCATGGTGGCACACGCCTGTAATCCTAGTGGCTTGGAAGGCTGAAGCAGGAGGATCATGAGTTGAAAGCAGGCCTCAGCAAATTAGTGAGGCCCTAAGTGATCCACTGAGTTGTTGTCTCTAAATGAAATACAAAAAAGACTGGGGATGTGGCTCTGTGGTTAAACACCCCTGAGTTCAATCCCTGGTACAAAAAAATAAAATAAAATTGCCTACTAAAACCTGTTCTACAAGCCAGAGGAAGAAATGATTTGATCAGTGAATAGCAGCTTTCTATCTCTGCATTAAAATAGATACTCTTTTCCTTTTGGGGGATTTCAATACTCATGACAGAACCACATAATATCAAAAATGTTTAACTATGATTAACACATAAAATATATAAAGCTGATCTATAAATCGAACAAAAACTAAATCTAAGAAACTCTTATTAGTTTGAGAAGAGCAAATTTTAAAAATCTATACATGACCCAGTAGAATTTATCAGTTTGATTTCCTATCCTGTCAAAATTTAATAAGATTGTTTGTAAGATTCTTAATACATTTAAATTTTTCAATTAAATATACCTTACATTCTTCATATACATTTCCTATAAGAATCTGCTACGTACTTCACACCCTTTCCCTTTTTCTTCCTCTTATATTCCCTAGCTTAGAATAAGGGCAAAAGATTAACTACATTTAACAGATATAACAATTGATAAAACAAAAATATACCATTACCACACACCTACTGGTTCATGATAAATTCAATGATTTGCAATATTTATAAAAAAGAATCTCACTCTAAATATGACACATGGATTATCAGCAAAGTCGATATATTTTACTTATAATTTTTATGCTCCTTCTAATATAAAGTTATTTAAAAAAACTTTCTACTCAACTTACATTCCAGTCAATATTTGCAAAAAAAAGATGTCTTTTAATTTCCTCAACTCCTTCTGAACCTATAAAAATGGAAAGAATACTTTAATGGCATGCTTTAAAAAAATCTTGCTACTTGGTTTAATTGGCTATTATCTGTTAATAGGATTATACACATTTCATAGATTTCTCAAAGTGAAAACATCTATGATTTCTTTTCTGGCATGTTATTCATTTGTCTTTTTACTTCACTACAATAAAAAAAAACCTGATGTGCTGAGAACCCTTAGCCAAGTAGGTATGACAATTGCCTTGGACATTTGCAGTGACATTGCATGTATGTTTGAGAAAGGTGACCCTGCTCAAGGACCAGGGTGGATCCGGGTTTAGGGAGGATCCTACTGGATTAGGGCGGATCCAGGTTTAGTGTGTATCCTGCTGGGAATAGGGAGTATCCTGCTCCTTGGGTTTAGGGCAGTTCCAGGTTTAAGGTGTACCCCTGCTGGGAATAGGGCATATCATGCTGCCTCAGGCATGCCCGCTCCTTGAGTTCCTGCTGAGTTCTCCTGGGATTCAAAAAGTATTTGGGACTCGGAGCCTGGTGGAATACATGGATTTGGCCCAGAACGTGGATTTCCTCAGAACCTGTGTAGGTGTGTAGAGTGCCGGTGTGAGTTCGGGAATAAAGAGTTGCTGTTTGAATCTACAAGGTGTGAGTGACTCGTGATTTTGTGCCCAGCCAGACTGTGGCACTGATGTTCATAATGAACTGTACAGGGTAGTGAATTCGTGTTCAATATAACATTAAAAGTATATTTTCTTTACTTCATAATTCAACCCAATACCTCAGGTTTGTATGACAAATTAAAAACTACAAGGAATAAAGTCATTCTATTATTTTAACTAAACAATTCAAATAGGATAATAGGATCACATCTAGATCCAGAGAAAGGCTATCAGAAAGTAGTCATATAATAAGTATCAATGGCAACATTCTATTTACTTTGAAAAATATTAGGAAGAACAAAATAATTATCCTCAAATATCTAAAAGGATTACCTATACAAGGTAAGATTCTGTGAATTATGTCAAAATAGGTAATCCATAACATATACATACTGATATACATAAAATAAAAGTTTTGATTAACTAGTCTATTTTTTAACCTTTTAAACTTTTATATAATAAAGTTTATTGTTTCTAGAACAAAATGCACAATTCCAGGCATAATTGTGTAGCAAACGCAAATGAACTTAACACTTAAAACAAGTAAGAATAAAGATGTAGTTATACTCCCCAAGTTGCAGTATATAATTTTAAAGATAAGAAAATAAGCATTACCCAATCTATTTGATGGATTTCTTTTGAATAACATCCTTAGAAGACTCTGTGCTTCAGCACTAAGAAACTGAGGCATTCCAAGTTTTGCTCTGAAAAAGAGTATTTTAAAAAATTTTACTTAAACTGATCACACTTGTAAATGGACAAATCTAAAAAGAAATCTTAACTTTTTTTTTTTTTTTTTACAATGGCAAATAGTGTCCCTTTTATTTTAGGGAATATAACAAAACATTAAAATGTTCTTTTGCCTCAATGTAAAATCAAATTAATTTTCCCCAAACTGAAAGCAAGTGATTTGTTTCGAAAATAAAATGAGTGTGCATACTTACTTTAATATCATATTCATGGTCTCATTTCTGTCTTTACCTTGAAATGGCAGAGTACCAGTAAGCATTTCAAACTAAAAGAATAAAATAACCTCAGAGTCAATTTAGCACAACTTAGAAAATATAATAAAATTTCTCAGAAAAAAACTTGAAACTTGTAGTACATGATCATTAAATTATTCAAGATTTACATGAGACTGGGTCAAAATAGAACTAGAAAACTTGGTCACTTAAGGAAATAACATTGTTGACATGGGAATCTTAACCACCCCTCAAATGCTACATTTGTTAAAAGTAAATTCTTTCCCCTCTAGCTGTCATTACCATTTTCTATTAATGTACCACTCTTTCAATCCCTAAATTTCATAAATTTTAGTGATACCTTTTTCTTTGATCTTTACCCTTGCTTTCATCTGTATCACTTAAACTGTTATTAAAGTTAGTCATGACTTCATTTGAAATGATTTCCTCTTCTTAAATTCTAGAATCTTACAAGTGTCTTGTAAGGTGTTCTTTTAGTCACCCTATTTCTAGTTTCTTATACTTCCAATCCACTTATATATTGCTGCCAAAGCTAATATTCATAAAGCACATATTTTCTCTAACTTGCATCCTGTTTAAGAATCTACAATATTGTATTACTTCTCAGAAAATCAACACAAACACTTACAGGTTTGCAATTTCACTTCCTCCAACTTTGCCCTCTTTCTTCACTACTCTAGTCAAACTAGTTCCCAAAGCCTTTGCTAATATCATCATAATCCTCTCCTTGACATGCAATGATTCAAATTTTACCTATCACTCAAGGCATAACCTGAGTTCTAGCTCCCCTACTTTCTCTAGATCAACTTTTATGAAGTTTCTCTGAATCCTAAAGTACTTCTGGATAGTTTATTTAGCTATTGCAATTGTTTCCATAACCAGATTGTATGTATTTTAGGTCAGATAAAATGCCAAATATACTTCAAATCAGTTTCCACCTCACTGATGTGTCATACACTGTGTCATTCAGTGATAAATAGGCAAAGTGGATTATCAGATGTCAGAAGCAAATTATATCTATCATCCTACTCACTGCTATATATTCTATGTGTAATCTCATATCAAATTAGTCAGTCTGTCTTTAATAAGCATCTAATAAATGATCCCTAGTCTAATTACTGTGTGATGAAAAGTAACACAAAACACAAGTCTTCCTTTCAAGAGGATTACATTCTAGGCAATGCCTGAAACAAATGGACAATAAGACATTGTATGTTAAGGTGACAAACTCTGAGATATCAAATTAAAATAAAAAATAACTGCTAAAATCAGCATTCTGAAATCTAGAATCTGAAATACCTGTTCAAAGTCTCAAATTTGTAAAGTTTATAACAATGCTGCCATTTACCTTTGTAGTAACAACTTCAAAAGACTAAAATCCTAATTATTTTAAAACAGCTAGCCAACCACAACTTTTAAGCATTAATCTTGAATTAACAGAAGCTTATTTTTAGTGACACATTCCAAAATTTTAACTAAACTAAAATTCTAAATAATATGAACTATATTCTGACATGATTAATAAAAATAATACTACTTACCATAAGTACACCATATGACCACCAATCAGCACTCTGTGAATGGCCTCTCCTGTTTACTACTTCAGGAGCCATATACTCCACTGTACCACAAAATGAGTAGGCCTTCTTTTCCTGATCTACTGACTCCTTGCTGAGTCCAAAGTCTATAACAACAATATAAAAACATTGAAAACCTTCAGAAAATAGAAAACAACAACAAAAAAATAAGGTGTTAAACATGAAAACAATTAATGGACAGTCTACAATTACTCCTAAGAAAACTATACAATGAGACCAATAATAGAAAACAGCCTATATTTCATAATGATACACTTGAAGAAGTGAAATACTGTTGGATTAAATCTCATGATCATAATACCTACCTTCAGGTCTGTGCTACAGTATCATGCAACAGTTTTGAAAGAATAACATTTAAATCAAAGTTGTCATATGGACCTAAACTTTAAAACAGGCAAAGGCGAGGTAGCAATTTAGAGTTTTAAAATATTAAAAAAGCAAAATTTTGCTAAGGCAAGTTGCATTTTTGTTTAAAGCCTTCAAAAAACTAAATATATGAATATAAAATCAATTTTATTTTTATTTACTAGGAATAGAGATTTGTAAATTGAAATTTTAAAGGTACCATTTTAACACTCCCCAAATCCCAAGAAACCCACAGGCAAAAATATACAAAATATATGCAAAATTTGTATGCTGAAAATTGAAAACTTTCATGAAAGTAATAAAAGTAGACCTAAATAAATAGAGAGAAATATTGTGTTTATTGGCTGGAATATTCAATGTTGTTAAGAGGTCACCTTTCCAAAAACTGATCTATGGATTCAATTAAAAACTTCAATAAAAACCCCTGTGATTTTTTGTTAATTCAACAAATTGATTCCAAAATTTATATGAAAAGACCAAACCTGTACCTTCTCTTTCCCTCCACTGCTAACATCCTCTGCCCCATGATGTGCATGGTTTATTCTACTAAATCCCCTTCTATTTTTATTACTATTTTCATTAGTACATTAAAATTATATATGAAATCTGTATTCATTGTGGTACATTTGTACATGGATACATCATAATCTGGAAATTTCATTCCCTGTAACTTTCTCATGTTCTCCCCTAATCTCTTCCTCTCAAACCCCTTCCACTACTCTACTGGTCTTCTCTCTATTTTCATGAGATTCGGTTGTTTTTTTTTCCTATTTTTTTAAATCTACAAATTCCACATATGCAAGAAAACATTTGACCCTTGGCTTTCTGTGTGTTTTTTTTTTTTTTCATCTCACTTAGCATGATGTTCTCCTGTTGCATCCATTTACCAACAAATAACATAATTTTATTCTTCTTTATGGCCAAGTAAAACTCTATTGAACATGTACACATTTTCTTTATCCATGAGTCTTTGGTGAACACCAAGAATAATTCCATAACTTGCTGAGTGTGTCACTGTTAAAAGATGTTAGTGTTATACATCTAAGTCCATTTCCCCTGTAAGTCCTACAACTTCTACTGTATGATTTTGCATACTGCAGTGATAAAGATCACATTAGGACCCACTGTAACAGAAGTGGCTATATATTGCCAAATGATTTATTGGAATATTGCAAAAACAATTCCGTTGAAAGTCATATTTTTAAACAAGTCATGCCAGAATAGGAAAAGTATTAATAAAAAATCCATCCTCATGCCAAAAGCAAAGATTAATTCAAAATGGATCATAGACCTATATTCTCATAAAATTTTAAACTATAAATTTCCAAAAGAAAATGTAGAAAGAAAAACTTGGTGAATCTGTGAGATAAGAATTTCTTAGATACAACATCAAAAGTATAATTCATAGAATAAAAAAAGCTGATGTACTGGATGTCATCACAATAAAAACTGGTCTTTAAAAATATTCTAAGAGAATCAAAAAGAATCTAGTTGGGAGAAAATATTTGCAAATCACATATTAGATAAGTGACTTATATTTTTAGTATATAAAACCCACAAAATTCAATATGAAAAAAAATAATCTATTTTTTCCAAATGGGCAAAAGATTCAAAGAGGCACTTCTCCAAAGAAACCTATATACGACAAAATGCTCAGTTTCATTAGTTATTAGAGAAACACAAAATAAAACCATAATTAGATATAACTCAATGTCTATTAGAATAGCTAAAATAAAACATACTAACACCAGGAACTGGAAAGGATAAAGGGCAACTATGGGTCTCATACACTGCTAGTGGAAAGGCAAAATGGTACAACCAAGCTGGGAAAAAGTGTGGAGGTTTCTTATTAACTATACACTTACCATATGATCAAGTATGTCATACTTAGGTGATTACTCAAGTGAAATAAAATGTATGTTCATGCAAAAACTTATATACAAATGTTTACTGCACTTTTTTTCATTACTGCCCCAAACCGGAAATAATCCAAATACCCATTAATTGCCAAATGGATAAACAAACCAAGGTACCACCATAAAATGGAAATATCACTAAGCAATTAAAAAAGTAGTGATACATTCAACAATACAGAAGAATTTCAAATGCAGTACCCTAGACAAATACAGCTGGGCTTAAAAGGCCATATAATGTATGTCTATGTTTATATACTTCGTGGTAAAGGCAAAACTGTAGTAACAGAATGTAGGTTGTTGTTAGCTTGAAGTAAAGGGAGGACTGATTTTTAATGGTCTAATTTCAGGAGCTATAGAACTATTTTGTACTATTATCTTGTTGCTAGTTATAAAAGTATAGTATTTGTTAAGACTTGCAGAATAATTTTTTAAATAAAACTTTATATTTTAAAATAATTGCAGTTACATAAAACATTACAGGCATCTTATTTACTCTTTCCCCAGTTTCCCTCATGATAACATCTTGCAAAATCATAATACAATAAAATAGCCAAGATATTGACACTGGTGCAATCAAGATATTCATTCCCATTACAAGGATCAGAAAGATCAGTTTTACTATATGTGAATTATACACAATTTTAAAAATAAAAAGCTACAAGACCAATATGGGTCACATTAGATTGGGTAGAGAGAAGTAATGGGAGGGGAGGGGAGGTGGGGGAATGGAAGGACAGCAGAATAAAATAGACATTATTATTGCTGTGGATATATTCATGACTGCATGACCAATGTAATTCTGTAACCTGTACACTTAGAAAAATGAGAAATTATATCCCATCTCATTCAAATGTATGATATGTCAAGATCATTGTACTGTCACGTGTAACTAATAAAAAAATAAATAAAATAAAAAGCTACAAGACCAATATTACGTCTTATGATAGAAGACAACAATAACAATTTTAGGGCCCCTCAATGCAGATTTTCTCTCAAATGCTCAATATTTTCATTTAAAGTATCTCTTATCCTTATTTAATAACTTTATATACTATAATTTTAATTTTTAAAAATCTTTTTAATCTTAAATATTAACTTGTTGTATTTTGAGACTTTTAAGACATGCACATTCCTTTTAGAAAATTAAATATTAGAAAATTAAATATAATAACAGTCTTTGAGGTCAGTTCAGCTGCATCTCTTATAGAGAAGGATACTGGCTTCTTTGTTCACTTCAGGGAGAGGGGGAAAAGGAAGAGAATGTTTTTTGTCTTTCTGTTACTTTCCAGAGATTTACGCCAAGAGATAAAAAGTTCCTTTGTCATAAAATTTCTGACAAAACTGATGTTTAACACTAAAGTCTGCTCAACAATTAAATGACAAAAATTTTACCATTATAAAACAAGCCACAAGATTAAATGAGATAGATATTAAACACTGGTTTTTCCAAGCAACTAGTTTGGAAAAAAAATATAGAAATCAGTGACATAAAGGAAGGGTTTTGGGAAGAGGAGGTCAAGAGTGTATTTCACATCATTGCAAACTTAAATGACTCTAAGATTTTAAATTTTAAAATGCATGCCCAGAACACAATCAATTTGATGAGGATTTATAATTAAGCAAAAGTAATTCCAATGATAAATTACTAAAATGATTTTCTTATGTACACATTTTCTCTAAAATACTTAAGAACTGTGTGATTTAAATTTTTATACATTTCTCATTCCTACCTTTCTTACCAACCCCTAAATTATGGCCCTCAAAACCATATTATAGCAACTACAGAATTTAAGTCTGAGTTCAAGTTATATTTTTAATGAGTTATTATTATTACATATTTTTCTACCAACAGGCAAGTCCTTCTATAATTAAGATATTTTTATACACTATAGAGGGTAAGTTTCAGAAATATTAAGTCATGTACAATATAAATAGTGCACAAGCAAGTATGCAGATATCTGTGGATACCTACTCTCCTTTTAGTAATGTTTGGCTATACAATCTAATCTCAGTATGAGACAAATAATCCTGAAAGCACCATTAAAGCAGAAACTTTTCTATAGTCCAATGCCATTCCACAGTAGCTTGTTAAAACATTAGGTCCATTCCTAAGGTTTCTTTTGCAATACCAGAAATTGAATCCAGGGGTGCTCTTACCTTGAACTGCATCCCCAGTCCTCTTAATTTTATTTTGAGACAGTCTTATTAAATTTCCCAGACTAGCCTTGAACTTGTGATACTTTTGCCTCAGCCTCCAGAATAAATTGGATTATAGGTCGATGCCACTAACATCCAGCTGTCTTGAGAAGCTTGAATATCAACAGGTAGGGGGAAAAAGACCAATGCTTTTGTCTAAGATTACTCTTGGGAAAGTTTACAATGTTGGAGATGATTCTGCCTAGATAAGACATTCCTAAATCACTGTAGTCCACCTAGAGCCCACTGGTATCAATGAAAACAGCAATCAGCCTGCTATATTTTGATTATAGTGTTTAAAATGTCAAATAGAAAATAGGAAAAGAAAGAGAAGGAAAGACAAAGCAGGGGAAAAGGGCAGAAAAAGAAGAAAAATTAAAAGGAAGGAAGGAAGTATAAAGAAATTAAAGAAAAAATATAATAGAAGAAAGTTTTAAAATAATTGCTGTAAAGGGTCTCACTTTAACAAACCTTACTGGAATACTTCTGAGGTTTAATCCACAAGAGTACTTTTTATCACAAAACTCTGAATTAGGTTATAATCATAAAACTATAAATCACCAAATAATATTCATTATTGTATATTTCCTTTAAAATAAATAGTAGTACAACTGTAACAAAAATACTCTGCATTGTAAGAAGAAATAATAAGTCATATTTTCTTACTATCACATACCTTGTGTCCAGTGCTTATAAACTAACATTGATCCTAACTACTCTTTCCTCCTCAGCCAGTTTAAGTCTCTAAAAGCTATAAAAAAGCAGAATTTCAATTAGAAGACTAAATATAATACAACTTAGCATAATTATTCACCCAACTAAACTTACTGTGGTGGAGAGATAAAGGTAAAATTTATTCTACTCTTTTTTCCATCTCCTTTTGTCATCTCTGACAAAACAGATATGACATATTAAGAAAAAAATGAAAGGAGCAATTAAATTCCAATTAGCTTTTTGATTAAAGTTCAATTGCTTTAAAATAAAAAAATTATATGTTATATAAAATTTCAAAATTCTTTTGTTCTTTCTTCATACATTTTCTTTTCAGCTTTCAATCCCTTGCAAACTTACACTGTTTCTTAGATATATGAAAAAGAGAATCAGGCTATGAAACAATAAGATTCACTAAAATTTGTATTAACTTTGACACATTTACTTTTGTTTTCAAAGTAACACCTTTATACTTTAATTTTACATTGATGCAGTACACTAAGGAATTTAGAGCAACTAACCTTCTAAACTTCTACCAGTATAAAATTGTCTGTAAAGATCAAATTTTCATTTTATCTCTTTTCTTGCATGCTGATAATTAAATGTAGAATTTACTATCTACTCAAAGCATATGTAAACTTTGAGATTGGTCCACTCAGCAAAATGCCTTTGAAATCCATGCAAATTATATCAAGAATTAATGGAACTTTCCTTTTCATTGCTGAATAGGATTCCATTATATGGATGCATCACTGTTTATCCATTCACCCTTTGAAGAACACCTGGGTCTTTTCCAGTCTTGGGTTTTTACAAACAGAGGAGCTTTGAACATTCATGGATAGGTCTTGGTGTGAATGTAAGTTTTTACTTCTCCAGCTAAACAGGAGAGTGATTGCTATGTGGCTCTACAAAACTAGTTTATATAATACTCTCAGAATAATAAAATTATAGATATAGAACAGAAAAGGGTTTGCAGAGTAAATAAATGGGGAGAGAGGTTGTCACTATATTTCAAACATCATGAGTATTGTAAAATCTTTCAGTCTATGCTGAAAATAAGATCATGTATTTTAGGTAGAAAATCAAACACTTTTATTTGTACAGTGCCTGAATTTTAAATTATAATTAAAATTTAATAAAAGCTACCTAATCTTTAATTAAACTTATTTCACTAGATTAACGAAATGCAAATCAAATGATGAAAGAAAAAAAGACTGAGACAAACAGTAAAATAATGAAAAATGAAAAACATTGGGTTTAGTACATATGAAAATTTGCATACCTGTTAACTTGATATGTCCTATTTCATCAAGCAAAATGCTGCAAAACAAAATTCACATTCAGTAAGATGGAATAAAATATTTCATATAATACATTTATATAAAAACATCATAAATTTAAAACAGGTCATTATTTGGTATATTAAAAAAAATTTAAGTAATTAACTTAAAACTAAAGTTTGTTTGTATGAAGATTACTTTTCACAAATTAGTTTCATTATGTAATTCAGGGATTGTGGCTCAGCAGTAGAGAACTCGCTAGCACGTGCGAGGCGCTGGGTTCAATCCTTAGTACCACATACAAAAATAAATAAATAAAATAAAGGTATTGTGTCCAACTACAACTAAAAAATATTTAAAAATTAAAGCATGTAATTTTTACAGAATTTCTTATGATTTTTTTAAAAAAAAACTTAATGGGTTATGTCAAAATGTAGTTCTCATAGTAGAAATATAAAAAAACAGTGATACATAAGGAGAATATAGTTTTACTTTTCTGGCTTCAGGTCTCTATATACAATTCCTAATTGATGCAGATGATCCAAAGCAAGGGCCAGTTCTGCGAGGTAAAATTTCACATCTTCCTCTGTAAACAGAACCTGAAATAAAATAATAATATACCATTTGATCTTTCTTCTAATATTGAGTATTTTAAAAAATGTACTTCTTTAAAAACCAGTAGACAAATTTGGGAAAATAATAAGAAAATGAGTGTAGTCAATTCTTATTGATTGGAATAATGATTATGTATACAAAGAATTAAGATTTCTAGATAGGTGAAACTAATTTCTTTATGAATCTTTTTTTCTTAAATATTACCCATTTTAATGTTAATCTTTCTAAAACATGATATTTTTATATCTTCTTATACTAAGTATACTACATACAATTCACCCTTTTTGATTATCTTGTGGTACACTTAGGTATTTGAAGTATATGATATTTTGCTTTAACACTGGTAATTCCATTATTTGTTACTCTCTTTTTCACCATCTACTCTCACTTCTCAGGTATTTCATTTCATTCAGCTATAGAAACTGAAAGTCTCTAATATACCACTATGAATTGTTAAACTAGTAGCTATTATATCACACACAATTCTAAACTCATCTCCTATCTAAGAGGTACCTCTAAGCCTCTTCTGTTAGCAAAGTTTATGAGTTTAATGACACTGTATTCCAAAATCTTTCTGTGCTTGGAAAGAGAGCTGTTATAACAAAATGAACACAGTATTAAACTTGAAACCAGAAAACACAGTTTAAAATCAGACATCACTTAGCCCCCTTAGCCTCAGTTTCTAAGTCTAAAAAATAAGGAAAATATCTGTATTATTTCCCTCGGTTCTTGTCAGAATTAAATTAGTTTATATGGGGCAAAAATATTTTTAAACTATAAAATGTTTTATGTACAACAAGAAGCTATTGTTGTAACAGTTTACATCTATATTCATTCACAAGTAAATGTTAATTTATATACCAAATTTGGAACTATTCCATGATTACATGTAAATTTTAGAGATTATTAAGGGCTTCCAATTGGCAAAAGTGGTTTTTTTTAGCCCTGAGTTATTTTCATTAAAAAATGGGTCATTAATAAGGCTCAAAATTTGAATAAAATATCATAAAATCCATTAACCAGTTTCGCCATTTAGTATTATGGCCACAACATTTCACAATACATAATTCGAACTACTAATAAAACTCCAGAGAGTAAGCAATTAAAGATACTTTTTAAAATGATCAATGGAAAAAAAAACAAATATTCATTATCTAAGTTTCAGAAGCATTAATTTTGACTGTTTATATTATAGAAAACAATACTTGTTACTTGTTTAAACTTACGGGCAAGAATAATCAAAATGTTCACTGAAACCTAACACAAGAGTAAACCCTAAGTAAAAGTTTTTTACAAGTATAAAGGAAGAGGGCTAGGGATGTGGCTAAGGGGTAGAGAACTTGCCTAGCATTCATTAGGACATGGGTGGTTTGATCCCATCAGGGGAAAAAAAAAAAACTCAAAGAAACATTGTCTAGATTAAAGTTTATGTCAAACCTAACATCAAGCCATGAAGTTCTCTGGGTACAAAGCCTCATGATTTATACAAATAAGAAATTTACAAAGTAACAACTATGCACCAACTACAATTAATTATATGTTAAACATTGTACATTCATTATTTTAAGAGTCTGCCAAACAACTCTATGAAGTAGGTATTAGCCACATCTTACAAATGAGATTTGGTGAGTAACTAATTTGCCCAAAATAATATACCAAGTATGAAGGTTAAGGATTTAAACACAGGGATAGGATATGTGCCCCTAAGAATGATCTTTTCCACAGAAGCCACTTCTATCACCTGACATACTATGATTTCTTTCTAAATTTTAAGTTCACTGCCAATAATGCTTTCATATTTTTTAATTACCCTACTCATAAATCCCTCTCCAAAATGAAAATCATTCAAAATTTCAGTATGAAGAAAAACTCTCTTAATCTGTTATTACAGTTTTATTATATTATTTGTGTATATATGTGTATGAATGTATGAATTATATTAACATACTTGAAGTCATGCTATACATATTAGTGTTCTCCTTTATCAGAATTTAATATTATGTTATAATATTATATTATTTATCCTAACTTAAACAGTTTTCAACAACTGTACAGAATTAACCATACTCATTTGCCATGATGTACGTCACTGTTCTCCTGGATAATTAGGATATTTCCAGTTTTTCACTGTTTAAAATAACTATAAAATAGGCATACATCTTTATCAGTATAATGATTATTTTCCCAAAATGAATTCCTCAGGAATAAAACAGGTATAAATAGGTATAAATAGTCCAAGATTCCTGATATACACAATAAAATTGGTTTCCAAAAAGGTTACAATAGTTTCCACTCCCATCAGCAGTTTGAGATGGCATTTGTCTTTCCACATCTATGACACCATCAAATAAACCATTAAAAATCTGTCTACATTTGATATACAAAAATGGGATCAGTGTTGATTTAATTTAAATATTTATTCATATCGTGAACATTTCTTGTGTTTAGTAGTATGTTTTTATTTTCATGAAAAAACAGTAATGTTTTTGCCTGTTTTCCACTATTAACTTACTATTTGGTCAATTGGTACAGGCCTTTTAAATGTTAAAAATGTCATTTCTCCATCATATCAGTTGCAAATATTTTCCAACTATGTGTTGTTTTTTAATGTTCAATAGTTCTTACTTTTATATAGTGTAATTTATTCATCATTTCTGCATGCATTTTCTTAACTGCTATAATGCTTAATAAAACCTTCTCCATTCAATGGTCAACTTAATATTTATCTGTATTTTCTTTTAGGATACAGTAATTATTTTCCAGACTTAGCTCTTTAATAAGAAAAATTTACATTTTATATGATATAAATGGTATTTTCAATTAAGAAAAAACTAACCATTTCTCAAATACCATTTACTGAACAATTTGTTTGCCACAAATCTATGATTCTTCCTTTATACATAATAATATGTATAAAATTATACATAATAATATGTCATATATAATAGGATATTGTTAAGCCACATAGTATGCTTCTGATCTTACTTTGAAACTGTGATATGTTGTTTATAGGGCCTTTTAAAGGCTGTTGTTTTTGAGGCAGATCTTACTATATTTCCCAGGCCAGTCTCAAACTCCTGGGCTTAATAGATCCTTCTACCTCAGCCACCCAAGTAAGCTGGGACTACAGGTGGACACCACTGCACTAAGTTCAAAGCTTTAGAATTTTAACAAAGAAATAGAGAAAAGGAAGAGTGCCCTTTAGAATTTTCAAAATTTCTTAGTTTTTTTCATTTGTTTAATTTCCTGCCCATAGTATAAAATAATTATGCCAATTTCAAACAAAAATTCCTATTGTAGCTTTGTTCAAATTTTGTTAAAACTATGAATTAATTTTAACCAACAGCTTAAAAATAACCAGTCATTCATTAAACCATATTTTATTGATGTCAGTAAAGTAGTGCATAAATTTTGTGTGTTTGTATGTGTACTAGTGTGTGTATGTGTGTATGTGTGTGTGTGTGTGTGTGTGTGTGTGTGAGATCTGTGGAAAAGAGATATTTTGAAACATACATTTCCTTTAAAATATAAATAATATACACTATAAAATTCCTTAAAACATACCAAAAATGTACTTTCAAAAGTGTATTTCTAAGGAAAAGAATAAGTCTTATATTGGATTATTTAACAATGTTTTTATATATACAAGTGAAGTATAACCAACAAACAACTAATTATAATACTCTGCCTATAGAAGTAAACATTGAATCAATTTTTTAAAGCCTGTTCAATGAATAAACTAATTTATTTTCTTTGGGAAATGCATTTAAAATGCTTGCTCTTACCTAATATTCCAGATTTAGGAATCAAAACTTACTGACTGCATCTCTGTGCTAGTATGGGTTTAGATAGTCCCACATCGAGAATGGAGGTCTGAAGAGTTTAAAAGAAAATTAGAAATGACTACAAGTAAGAATTTTTCACAAACATTTGTGACACTTCTATAATCTAACACAAGAAATAATGAACTCTGGAGCCTTGTCATATTGCTGTCCCTATAAACCTTGGGATCAGCTTTTAAAAAATTCTTTAAAGAACCATCTTGGAAGGGGATTCCTACACAGACCCTATCATATACTGAATTCTGTTCTATAATGATAAGTATACCAAGAACACACTCTATGTTCATGCATGGCATGTCACTGTAGTAGAGATAGAGATACATAAGGCAGAGACCTTATCCACTTAATCACTGGCTAATATCCCAGAAACATATTCTTCCTTTTTCACAGCAAGTTCCATAGCTCTGGGAAACCATAGTAACTCTCCCACACCCAACACTGTAAATTCTGCAAGTGAGATTTTGAACCACTATCATCCAGTTAAAACAGTCCTCCCAGTCTATTTCAGGACAAAATGAAGTAGACAAGGACTAGAGTTGTTCTCCTGCCTGAAACATCTAAAACACAGGACAAAATATATGAAATGGTATTTTTAAAGACAATGGACAACTGGTAACAAAAGACAGCGAATACTGAAAGATGAAGAACAAATAAGGCATGTCCTAAAATTTCCCCAGCTTACCACCTGAAAAAATTTCCAAGTAGTAGTGCAGGGAGGGCTAAATTAAGTGGAGCCCAGAAGAGTATCCAATGTAATGGGTTGGAGCTATCAGTCTGAGAGGATAACAGAATTCACAGGATAAAGAAATAGAACAAAGAAAATAGCAGAGAGAACTCTAGAGAGATGTAGACAGTTTCCTCAAGCATACAGCAGAGAAATGCATAGCATATAGAAGTGAAGATATTACTCTGAACCAAAAAAACAAGGATTATAGGGATCTATCCATGGAACTCACACTAGGCCAGTAATAGTTCCCATTTCCTCCAGCCAGAGCAGAAAAACCTCATACATCAAGTATCAGAGTAATCAGAAGGGTTTTACTTCAATAGTACAGAAAAGTTAACTCCTGGCCAAATGCTATTCTGGACCAGTTTAAGAACCAGTAAGACCTGAAGATAATACTACTTTGACATCTTGAAAA